AAAGCCCCAACGGCTGAAAGGGCGAGCATGTTTAGTGGGATTGTGATTCGAACCCGCGACCCTCAGATTGCGAGTCGAGCGCCCTAACCACCTGCCCATGCCGGGCCAAGGATATAGAGCGCCTGATGTCCTGATTTGTGTACATATATGAAAAACAATGACTCAAAAGCTTAAAACTTATTTTAAAGGAAATGAAAAAAAAAGTTTATCATCCTTCGCCTCTCCAGTGGCTCAACGATAAGTCTGCAGGCTAAAGAAGCCAAAATTCGAGTTTCGATACCTATGGTGAACAGAGCATAGATGGCCCTTTTTGTAGCTTTGCGCTTAACGACAATCAACCAAATTATTGGCCCCTTTTAACTCAGAAATTTGTGAAATCGGGTACGTTCGAAAAAATATAAATTTGAGGCATTTTTCAAATGAAGGGTTTATGTACTTATATAATCATTTTAAAATACATAATAATGTAACTATAATACATATGATGAAACTTTTGTATTAGAAAATTTATTGGTGTTCGATGGAACTCATTTTTTAATGTATTTATATTCTATAACCAGCGAAATCAAAGAATAATCCTTATTTTATCTATCTCTATAACTACACTAATTTTGCAGGACTGAGGCATACACGTATGGACGAAAGAGATATCACACCATGAATAATATAATATATATCAAAAACTAAAATATCGATAACGTTTTCAATGAAAATTAAGACTCGAATTTAATTCTATCATATTTTAATAGCTAAGATCAAACAAATATTTGATTGAATTTAGCACTATGGTCTCGATTTTTTAATAGCTAAAATCAAACAAATATTTGATTGAATTTGGCACTATGATCTCGATTTTTTAATAGCTAAGATCAAACAAACATTTGATTGAATTTAGCACTATGATCTCGATTTTTATCAGCTAAGATCAAACAAATATTTGATTGAATTTAGCACTATGATTTCGATTTTTAACTAGCTAAGATCAAACAAATATTTGAATGAATTTAGCACTATGATTTCGATTTTAATAACTAAGATCAAACAAATATTTGATTGAATTTAGCACTATAATATCGATTTTTAATAGCTAAGATCAAACAAATATTTGATTGAATTTAGCACTATGATCTCGATTTTTAATAACTAAGATCAAACAAATATTTGACTGACTTTAGCACTATAATCTCGATTTTCTAATAGCTAAGATCAAACAAATATTTGATTTAATTTAACACTATGATCTCGATTTTTAATAGCTAAGATCAAACAAATATTTGACTGAATTTAGCACTATAATCTCGATTTTTAATAGCTAAGATCAAACAAATATTTAATTGAATTTAGCACTATGATCTCGATTTTTAATAGCCAAGATCAAACAAATATTTAATTGAATTTAGCACTATGATCTCGATTTCAATAGCTAAGACCAAACAAATATTTGACTGAATTTAGCACTATAATCTCGATTTTTTAATATGAAAGTGATATATAATAGAAGCTTTTAAACACGTACATGCAAACATACTGAAACATGTATTCGATAGTCGAAGCTCTTAAGATTTGTAGGGACCTACTGTCACCTATTTAACGGGCGGCCACAACGGCGACCATGTGCACACTCCCTTCTTGCTACAGAGAAACATCAAGCGACAATACTCACATGTCTGTCATTTTGTTGGGACAGCACGTTTTTACTTAGTCAATGGTGCACTTATAGTCTTTGTTAATAAACGCGTGCTACATTCAGCAACACATGAGAAATTTAATCCTGTCCCGAAACGTTATTACGAGTTGTTGTCATTTACAGATATTGCTAATGAAGCTGACTGGTTAGTCATACGTTTTATATGTCTATGGACTATGTAGTTATATATCTATAATTATATCTATGTGTACATATAAAGTAACTATTGTAATCCAGTGGTAAACAGTGTGACATGTGATAAAATATCATCATATACAAATCTATAGAAATATTGGAGAAGAATAAAATACAAAATTCAGACAAGTACGTGTGTGAATATGCAACTGTTGCCTTAGCTTTCCAGCATTTAGTCTTTATACAAAAATCTATAATGTACATATAATGATAATATGCTTTAAACAATTTATTTTTGAAAGAAAAAAAATATGTTCTAGCATATTATTATTGCTTCATGAAAAATAAAAGGACACCGTGTGTATGAGCTTCCATTAGTAATGTATATGCATTAAGATGTCACACTGGTGTGTCACAAAATAGTATTTTATTATCTTATATTATTATATCACATGTGATACTCTAGATTAAACCTTTCACTGCTTAATTCACATTGTTTTGAATTCGGCGCAAAGCTAGATGAGGGATATTTGCGATAGCCATCTCTAATTTACAAGTGATAGACTAAAGAGAAGGGAGCTAGTCAACATTATCCACCGCCAACTCTTGGTCTACCAACGAATAGTGAGATTGACTGTACATTATAACTCTCCCACAGCTGAATAGTGATGGGGATTCGAACCTGCGGCCCGCAAATTACGAATCGAACGCCTTAACCAACAGGCCACGACAGGCTTTCCTTAGTTTGGAAGTTAAAAGTTTAATACTATATCTACTAGAGAAGGGTCAATATTGCAATGTGCTCAACTGACCATTATGATGCTAAAATTATAGTCGAATAAATGTCGTATCGAAAAATGACAATAATTATCAAGTTTTTTTCTCTCTTGAAATCATATCGTGCAGTTAAAAGCAAAAGTATTCCCACTACAAATATTTTCTGAAATCATTAAAAGAAGTAATTAATTATAATCAATTTAGGATCAAACTATAAACTAAAGTTATAAATTCTAAACTCCATGTGGATGTTTATCCCTACATAATCACAGGCTTAAACTACATTAAACGACACTTTCTACACACTTTATATTCAGTAATGCAATGCTTACCATGCAGTAAAGTTACTGTAATATTTGACCGCGATGTTAATAAAATGTGTCGCTTTTCTTACCTCATTCCTCTGTAGAACTAGGTTTTGCGAATATATATACTAGCTCGACTCAGAGCGATCAACTCGGTAATAGCTTGTGAGATCAAACTCCAGCACTACAACGGTATGGGGGGCGCTCAAAGCAGCTTTGCAATTTTCACGCGCGTTACATGTATCTTAGGCTTGTTTTTACGTGCTTCCAAGATTATCCTGATGTTATAAATGATTATGAGGAATCGAAATCAGGTAAAAACTTTTTTTTTTCGTAAAAATTAAAATATGACTATAAAACTAATGATATGACGTGTGTTAGTTCTTCGGGTGACGTATGTAAATCGAGGGTTAATGATACTGTATGTATGCACTTTAAAATACTAGATTTCTAATCATTTTAACACGTGCCACTGCCTTAAATACAGATTTTGTGAAAAAATAGAGCTACACTTAGTTATTTATATACATCGTTCTTTAAATTAATTGATTGGTTGTTATGATTTTATTATCCGTATTCGTCAATAAATTATTTGTTTCGATTTTCGCTTAATATAGTTTTTTTTCTTTTTTTAGGAAATAAGCTTACCATACTTAAAAGTATATATTTTTAAAACCAAACAATAGTTATTAAATTACATTAGGACAGGCTGGTAAAATGTTGAATACATATATATGTAGTTTATCTTTCATTCCTTTGCTGTTGATGATGCATTTACTAAGTTGTTCATTTATCATTTAACGACGATTTTTCTTTTAAGCATAGTTGTAATTATGAAAATCGTTGTGGGTGAAAACGAGCGAAGACGAAGAATAACATCTTTATGATTTTTTCTTTAAATTCAACATAATAAGACACAAATCAAAATAATAATTCCTACCGTTTCGACGAGGGTTTGGCTGTTTTCTTCGTGTGCACCTGGGACCTTGATCTGCCATGGTTTCATGCTTACGATAATATTAACATTTCATGTAGTGTGCGTTTTTGTTGACAGCAGTTCAAAATGATCAAACTGACAACTTATGAGTTGAGAGTAATCTTGAGTCTCTTCTGATGATTCGTTACAGAAGAAAAAGTTCTCTCATAGGTATCTCTACCACCTTTTTCTATACAAGGTGAACCTGAGGGCTGATGCGCCGTCGATGCCCCACACCCATAAGACTACGGTGACAGGCAAGTAATCTAATCAATGATTCTCCGCATGGGAACGTTTTCTATTGGATGAAGAAAGTAGCTTATGATTGGTCAATGACTTCCCACCTATCAGGTTGCTCCGCCTAAATGAGTTAAACAAATGTCAATCACAGTATGATTTTATGGAAGAATATTATTAACAAAAAAATTATAAACACGTAGTTAATATACATTTTTTTACTGCCTGAGGTTTATAACTTACAAAAATTAACTCATATTAAGAATTCTCTCGCACTATTACGTTATACCTGAGCCGCGGATGAATATTCATTTATGTTTTGCTGCGCCTGATATAAGCGTAAACCTATATGGGGCTAGGTACGTTTCATTACTTAAATATTATAAATTACTAACTTATCTTGTGTTAAAGTATCTAAATACTGCACTACCAGTGAAGTTATACCACAGATAATTTTATTTAATACAAAAATGTTACGTTGGCCCGTATGACAAGTTATCCTGGAAAATTGCTTTACTTTATCTTATTGAGTTATTGGGTACTGTAACTTGTAAGTGTAAAGTCTAACCGGACTAAATATTTTAGGCTATTTATTGTTAACCCTAAGCATACCATATTACTTAGAAGTATCAGGTAGCAACTGTGTAATAGTAATCATCCTAAGTATTTGAACATACGTATTTAGAAGCTGCATTATTTAATTCACCCAGTGACTTTTATCGAATGTACTGCACTGCATGGAACCAGAATTGAAGTACTGTTATTTGCGCTATTCGCGAGGCTTAAGTTTAGCACTACCGATGTAATAGGAAACAGCGCCATCTAGGCTTGCGGTCTTTCATTTTCGCATGGCATGGAAACCGAACCAAATGAAAACTGTGTGGTGTAATCTTAAGTCTGATAGCTTATAATATTTTTGGTCAGGTTTTATGTATCGGTAACGAATACTACAACGAAGTGTTTAAGTAGGTGTATTTTTGAGAAATCAGTTTTAGAAATTACAGTGTGTAATCTATTATCTACTAATCTAGTATAATATGTTTCTGTTGCAAGTCTTTGTCATTCTTACCTAGTTTTGTTTACATTCCCGGGAAGTCTTAGGCTTAACCCTAGTATTACTAGTACCACCATTACTATTATTATACGTTTTGAAAATGTAGGCCTGCTACCTTGTCTTAACAACAACAATAATATGCTTAATAACTTATATATATACTGCGCCCATTTTGTTTTAATAGTAAAATATATTTTTGATCATATGAAGTACTAATAGTATTAGTAATAGCAGAAACATAGATTTAGTCTTTAAAGTTTTAGGGATTTAATGTTAGTGCTACTTAATTGATACCACTATTCACCAGAGTTAATTTGACTTCAGACTCAGTTTAAAGCTTAAAGTTGTCTTAGTTCTTACTGTGAATCATAATACTTATTGGTGTTATACTACTACAATCTCATCAGTGATAGAGTTAACTCATCAAGCTGGAATATTGTCATCATGACATATGGTAGTGTGTCGTGCGGCCAAAACAAACTGCTGCAGGACACACTGTGTTATTAGCAGTAGTGATAGTTTAGCAATTTTCCACCTTCTTTATCTCGAACAGTGGTAATCCTAACTATCATACATTTTCAGGGAATGTGCTCTACTGGACTCTTACTTCACTTACCAAATTTGAAAGCAATCCATCAAGAAATACCTTAGATATAATATCTTCAATTTGGATTGGATTTCTTCTCTTTTTTTTCTTCGCACCAAAAGTACGGAAACTTTATTTAATAAAAAGTATTCTTTTATGGATTTTTTTTTTTCTAAATTTGTACACCGATAGATCTTTTCAACCTATAATTAGGAGTCACATATAGTGTAACTATAAGTCACATGTGCAAAGTCATTCAACAAAAACCACTCAAATTTAATGATAGTTTTTGCACATGCCTATGCAAAAAGTCACGTGAGCTATTGGTCTAACATTTTTACTACAGCTTAACCTAAGAGTAAAAGTGGACCATTTTTTTTGTCATTCAGATTAAAGACTGCTGATTTAGAGCAGCAAAACTATAAGGTGAAAGGATGTGCAGATATATAATCATTGGTTAGTCCAAGCAAACCAGATCAGCAGTTTCTAGCTCAAATTTTCAAAAGAAAAATACAATTGGATGGTTATTACTGATTATTGATTGTCAACTTTTCAGCAGAAATTTTCTAAATTTTATGAAATTATCCTAGTGTTTAGTGTCAAATGATATTAGCTTTAGTAATTAGCATAAATAATGATGCTTGATACAGCTGTACCGATTGCATGGGGTGATGACAAGAAACTGTTAATCTAAATTACATGGCATTACTATAAAGGAAGCTACTGACCCTGTTTTAGAGAGGAAAAACTACCAGCATATATTTTAAAGAATCTGGTTGGTTCTGTAAAGTAATTGGGTTGCGATCCTAAAGTTAATGTGGGTTACTATTGAGTGTCACTTTCTTAGTTGCTGTGGTTTATTGGTGTGTGTATTGACAAAAGGTCATGATATATAATCAAAAACACCTTACATATGAAAAAAGGTGTGGCCAAAAAAGGAATGAGTGTATGACTTAAAGAAATGAAATCAAAATTGGCAGCCAAACTGGTAGCTACAAAATTCTTATCAATGCTATAAGTACCACAAATATTCATTCATTATTTAGCTAGTCCGAGGTTTTTGTTCAACTTGGGGAATGATGGTGGGTAAGACAAAATATGGAGTCTTGCTAACTAATGAATGAATATTTGCTGTACAATTCTTATCAATGCTATAAGTGTAACTACCAGTTTGGCTGCCAGTTTTGGTTTCATTCCTTTAAGTCGCATGTTCAATCCTTTTTGAACTCCAATTTTTTCAGACATATGGTGTTTTTGATTAGATATCATAATTTTTTTTCAATACACACCAACAGACCACAGCAAGTAAGAAAGTGGCACTCAAAAGTAATAGTAACCTACATTAACTTTTGGATCGCAACTCTGTTATTTGGAACAGACCTATACTTTATAGAACTAGCCAGATTCTTTAAGATATGTGGTGGTAGTTTTCCTCTCTAAAACAGTGTTAATAACTTCCTTTAGCAACACAATGGAATCTAGCTTAACAGTTCATGTCATCACCCACATGCATTTGGCACAACTGTATCAAGCATCATTATTTATGCTAATTGCTTAAGCTAATATCATGAGATGCTAAATGCTCTTTAATTAGGTATAATTTCAGAAAATATAG